GCTCACCTTTTTGTGCAGGTCCGCCCAAGTGTTCAGGTCGGTCCGGAGGCCGGGTTCGAGCTACAACCAGGAACACACTGTTGTGCACATCTTTGCATAAACACAATTAAAAAATTTAACCAATCGATTTGTAGCAGAGACGATTAGCTAAAACTTTAATGATGATTTTATAAGATATATCTATATTTATATCTATACTATATCTAAATGGGGCTATGGAGGAGAATCTTTGTCACCCCATTTTGCCCCCAACTTTTGAATATATACATATTTTGCCCTTCACATTTCTACGAGAGACACGACTGTTCGAGTTAAAGTGTCTGTTGAGATAACAAATCCAAAAAGTTGTGACCATTCAATGAAACAAGGAGTTTAATTCAAAAGAATTGTAACTGTTCGAGTGAAAAGGTGTGTTGAGAGAAGTTAATCCAATAAAAATTACAACTATTTGATGGAGTGATGCATCTATCCACGTATAAGTGTCATAGCAAATAATCTATAAAATGAAATATTATGTCTTTTTCTTTTATGACCTAAAACTAATTTCCAAAATATTAATGAAGATTTTTCATATGTTCATGAGTGAAAATTGAACCATGTCAAAATAATATTTGAGATTCCAAAAACATATTTAATCGATTAAGAGGTAGAGTAACAAAATCATGTATTCATATTATCTTCAACTTTTATTTCTTTTAGATTATTTTAATATTTTTATGTGGATTACTTTTAAGTTATATATTCATGATACCTTCGTGTTTTAATATTTAGTTAATGTTATTTTCAAGTTTGATTTAATATTTAATTAAGGTTATTTTCACGTTTTAAAATATATTCATGTTATATTTTAGTATTAGTTTTCTTATTTATCTTAATATGACTTTTCGATTGTTGTTGTTCTTATTTTATTTTTCTTGGTTATGTGATTCTTTATTCCACATTTTTTCAATGATTTCATTGCATACATAGTATTCAGTTTCTCTCTCAAATTTCAATTCTTTAATTTTGGTCCATTATTCCTTATTACATAATATACAAAAGATAAACGAATGAGTAAATAATTTAAGAAAATACACAAAAAGATTATTGTTGTTTTCTTAAAAAAGAAAAATTGACAACGAATAATATATTTTATTTGAAACAAAATATTAGTACCATTTAAAAGTTTCGTTGAGTTATTATTCTATATGTTAAATTGATACAAATATTATATTAAATATATTTTATTTGAAACAAAATATTAGTGCATTAAAAAGTTTCTGTTGAGTTGTTATTCTATATGTTAAATTGGTAGAAATATTATATTAAAATATTTATAACCACGTGCAATGCACGTGATATTAACTAGTTATATAAATTGATATTAACTAGTATAAATTGATGGGATGAAAATCAATTACTAACTTCCAACTTTTAGCTGTAGGGATGGTTGAAAAAAAAAAAAAAACTTTATGAAGTTTAATTATAGGACCTAAGCATGGAAATAGGCCCAGAACAGTCAACTTATTTAGAATTACTTGGATCCTTAGATTCCAAACTTTCTATAGTAGAACTTGTAGGTTTGTAGATTTAATTTGAGGGTGTGGAAGAGGAGAAAAAATTGACCCTCAAGATCGTGTTTCTTTTGGCTTATCGATCTTGATCGGATCTCATTTTTTCTGGATCGAGTATCATATTAATATTCATGGGTTTCATCTCAAAACTAAATGACAATAAGAGGAGTAGTTCATGTCTATTATAAACCTATGTAAAGTCTATTCTTTTATCAATGTGAGATCCTTAATACTATCGAGCCATCATAAGCTCTTTCATCCCATTCTTTCTTTCTTTCCCATTATCTTTTCTAATAATGGATTAATTGCATTGCTAAAAGAAGATTTAAACCTACAATTTATTTATTTATGAAGTAGTACTTGGACGTAGTAGCACGACTGTGCCTCCCAATTAGTTAACTAGCTTAGTTTATCATAGAATCTCTCATCTTGTCTTCGATCGAGATCTTCGCTCGTCCCTTATTAAGATTCATTCAAATCCAACTTTGATGTCCCTAGAAATCAATCTCGGTCAAATCTTACCTAGGCCACTATTCACTATCAAATTTGTGAATTCAAAATTTAAATTTTGCTACCATCAAACAACCTTTTCAAAAAAAAGTTGATCAAACTGACGTCAGTTCAGTTTCAGGATGGTTCGTTTTATGGTGTCGGTTCAGATAATCCTATAAATCAAAATTAATCTAGTTCAACTTACCCAAACCAAGTAAAAAACCAACCCGAACCAATTAACAAAGTACAACACCATTAATTATTTAAGGGAAATCCTTAGAAATGGCTATATAGAGGTTATCGTGAAGGAAAATGTCCAAAGTTTTTCTAAATTGTACATCATGGCCAAATTTTATTTTCTAGAATTTATGGGAGGTGTATAATTCCATATTTGCCCCTCCACACATTTTGTCCATATTGTCTTTGCAGTGTTTCTCCATTTTACCCATCCAACCAAATCTACATAATGAAACCACCAAATCAACCTATATCATTCAAATTATTTTAAAATATTATTAATTTATTTTTATCAAACATAACTAATTGGTTAATAAATTCTACCGAGCAATCTTAAATACGGTGTCTCTTTAATATTCTTACACAAAGTTTCATCAATCCCCACTCATTTTTGTTACATTGTTTGAGGAATTAAATCAATCAACATGGAAACACTTTATCGGGTTTAGTATCAGACACATTTTAATTCCATTTAATTCCACCCTACAACAACTCAGTGATCTTCATTTACAAGAAGGAAAAAAAATTACACGACTTTCATTGTTCAGCAATGGTGCTGACAAGTTGATAATTATGAGGCTGTCAGTAGATAGGGACGTGGCGGGGGTCATATCTCTTTTGTCGGATGTCATGTGTAGCTACTGCTGCATAGTTGTGGATACTGACCCCCGTATATAACACCATCTATGGGGACAATGGAAGTGCAGACGCTGCTTAGAATACAGTTTACCTTACTGGCCTCATATATAACACCATCTACAGGGACAGTGGAACTGTAGACGCCGATCAGAATACAATTTACCTTAGGAGGAAGAAATTTACCTTCATGGATCCTATTGTCCTTAGATTGTACTCCCTCTAATTTCACGTTGGAAGAATTCTCTGTTTTTCAAAATAAAGAAGAGTTGAAGAATTCACTTTATGTTATTGCATTAAAAGGGAGTTTTAATGAATACATCAGTATTTCAAAAGAATGTTTATTGAGAATGGAAGTGTGAGCAAAGAGATGTCAATACAATTGGGTAGATATAGGATTCTATAGAGTAGATGACCATTTTGACTGGGTTATCCTTGTCCAAAAATAGTTGTAGATATTATCTTTGAACATTGGCTATAGAAAACCAATATCCATCGACATTCATGACTAATAATTTTAGACAATAATAAAAGACAGCAGTCAAATTTTAGATAATGCATCATATTAATATAAACAAGTCGAGAATAAGAGCATGAATAAAACCAATGGTTGCAATCCTTAGTAAATATAACCAACGCAAATGTTTCAAATAAATACAAAATTGAACATATTCCTAGTGACCATGGAAACAAAGAGCACCCTCCCTATTTTATATATGTCATTCTCTCTCTTTTTTTTTTTTTAATCCTCCATTCTTTCTCTTATTCCTCGTGACCATGGAAACCCAAGTTGAACATATTCTGAAACTTCGAAGTGTTTCGCAATCTAATCTCCCAAAAGTGTCTCTTTAATATTCTTTAATAACAAGACTTCGGTAGATGTTATTTAAATTTTTTTGCAATCTAATTTTAGCAATATTTTTATTATTTATTATTGCAATCTAAACTATATTTTGCAATATAATCTCCACCAACCAATCATATGTACAAGGTGTTCTACAAAATTAGTTGTGTCTAACAAAATCCTTTGAATATTGGAGGTTGGTAACACGGTCAATTACTTAAACCTCATTTATTTAAACAACATTCAAAATCAGAGATACCTTTGGCGGATTACAAAAAAAAAGCTGTCGATTATTAAAAAAAAAAATATTTACCCTTGACGGAGGAACGCCGAGGGAAGGCAAAATTTGGAGGTTTTGGGTTTTGGGTTCCTAAATTTGAAAGTACATAATCTGGGTTCCTAAAAATCTGGGTTGTTTTGGGTTCCGAGGGTAAATTTCGAAAGCTTCAATCTGGAGGTTATGGGTTCTATAGGTACTTACCCTTCACGGAGGCTATGGAGGTCGAAGGAAGGCTTGAGATTGAAGGAGGCTTTGGGATTGAAGGAGGCTTGAGGGACGCCGAAGAAGGAGGTTATGGGTTCTGGACGTCAAAAGCTTGAGGCACACGAGGTTTGAGGCTTGAGGTTTGATTGAATCAAATTTTATTTGATTTTAGGAAAGAGCTAGGGCAAAAGTGGAAAAAAGGAGTTAGGGCAAAAGTGGGAAGGAGACTTTTCAGTTGCTTCTCTCCATAATGGATCCTGATATTAATTTTCATATTCTACTTCATCTAYTATATTTATAAGGAGAGTACTTTTGAGTTTCAATCTTATTCTTTATTCATTTTCCATTTTTCTAAATTGATTTTACATTTTTTTAGACCATTTTACATTTTAATTAAATCTTAATATTTTTTATTTCAAAGTATGCCTTCAACATATTTTATCTTATAAAATTTCTAAAATTTGAAATTTCAATGTATTTAAAATTTTTGAACTTTATAATTTTGATTCACTGTATTGTTTTCTAAAATTTAGATGTACTAAAAATTTGTTGAAGGATATTTTCGTCACAAATTTATAAGGGTATAACAGGATAAATTTACCTAATGAGAGGGTAAATTGTTCGACATAGAAATCTTGTAGTTCAACTCTAACTACCCATTAGCCATTTTCGTGATAGGTCATTTTTCAAACACCCAGCACAGCAAAGCCCAACCTAGCCCATCAAATTTATCCCTTCGTCTAAAATTAAATTGAAGCCCATCTTTTACAACCCACAGAAAACTGTGAAACTTACAGAAGGAAGTCTCTCCGCCTCTCTGGAGTTCACCGTGTTTGTCGCCGGCAGGATTGTGCTGCTACCGTGTAGAAGGAGGTAGGGTTCTCAGAATCGGGTTAAACCCTGCTCCCGCGAATCAAACCTTAAACCACAAAATCGGTTGGTAACTATGATAATCTTCTTCGGTAATTGCCCTAAATTCCTCCGCTCCAAATTCGCAGCTTGTTTTCTCTGCAATTTCACTCCCACAAGATCGATGAGCCAATCCACCTCCATTCCCAAAAAGCTCCAAAGGGTCCGTGACCATGGCTACGATAACTACATGGAAGTGGAGAAGAAAACCCGAAAAATCCTCAAGTTTCAGGACCTTATTCTCACCCAAATTAACCAAACCATCCCAGTTTCTCGCCTCGATGTCTTAGCTCGTCGCCTCGGCTTCAAGCAGCACCAAGCCGGGGCTTTCGTCCTTAAATTCCCTCACGTTTTTGAAATCTACGAGCACCCTGTTCAGCGAATCCTCTATTGCCGGTTAACCCGAAAAGCCCACCTCCAAATTGAGCAGCAAAAGCAGGCTGTGATTGCCCAGATTCCCGATGCTGTGACTCGCCTGAGGAAGCTCTTGATGATGTCCAACAAAGGCCGTCTTCGCCTCGAGCATGTTCGGATTGCCCGCTCCGAGTTCGGGCTGCCAGACGACTTCGAATACTCGGTAGTTCTCAGGTACCCTCAATTCTTTAGACTGTTTGATGCAAAAGAAACTAGGAATAAGTACATTGAAATTGTGGAAAGAGATCAAAACCTTACTGTTTGTGCAATAGAGAAAGCTAGGGAGAGAGTTTACAGAGAAAAAGGAAGTGATGCTGAAGATATTAGGTTCTCTTTCATTGTGAATTTTCCTCCTGGGTTCAAGATTGGGAAGTATTACAGAATTGCAGTGTGGAAATGGCAGCGGCTTCCTTATTGGTCGCCATACGAGGACGTTTCCGAGTACGATATGAGGTCGATAGAAGCCCAGAAGAGGATGGAGAAGAGGGCAGTGGCCACAATTCATGAGCTCTTGTGTCTGACTGTGGAGAAGAAGATCACTTTGGAACGGATTGCACATTTTCGACTAGCGATGAATCTGCCGAAGAAGTTGAAGGATTTTCTTCTTCAGCACCAGGGGATTTTCTACATTTCAACCAGAGGGAACCATGGGAAGCTTCACACTGTTTTCCTCAGGGAGGCTTATAGGAGGAGTGAGTTAATAGAGCCAAATGATGTGTATTTAGCAAGAAGGAAATTGGCTGAGTTGGTTCTACTCAGCCCAAGAAAGGCAAAACTAGACAGAGAATTGGTTGGGTATAGGAGAGAGAGAGTGGGTTATGAAATGGAAAGCTTTAGGAAAGATTATGAGGATGATAGATTTGAAGATCTTGGTGTTGGGGGCAAACACAATGTGAGAGATGTTTCGGACTCTGATGTTGAATCTGAT